TTCCTTTTCCTTTTCCTTTTCCTTTTCCTTTTCCTTTTCCTTTTCCTTTTCCTTTTCCTTTTCCTTTTCCTTTTCCTTTTTTCTTTTTTTTTTCTTTCCTATACCTTTTTTTCCTTTCTCTTTCCCTTCTCTTTCTTCTCCTTCTTCACCTCGTTCTGTTTTCCTCTCTTTCCTTTTTCCTTTTCCTTTTCCTTTTCCTTTTCCTTTTCCTTTTCCTTTTCCTTTTCCTTTTCCTTTTCCTTCTCTTTCTCCTTTTCTCCTTTCCATTATCTAATTTTCCTTTTAATTTTCTTTTTTTGTTTGTTTGTGGGTTTTTTGTTGGTTTGTTTTGGTTTTTTGTTTGTTTTTACTGTTTTGGTTTGTTGTGTTTGTTGTTTTTTTTTTCCCCCGTTTTCTTTTTGTTTTTTTTCCTTTTTTCCCCTCCACCCTCCAGAGGGAAGATCTGTGTCCCTAACGGAACGAGCGATGGCCTTGGTGCTCCCCGTCCGTCTGTCTGGACCGGGGTCTGTCGGTCCCGCAGCCCGCGGGGTTCCCGCAGGGGGCCGGGCCGGTCCGGGCGGAGGCAGCGAGGCCGAGCTGCTCTGCGGTCCTGCCGGGGGTGCAAGGAAGGAGGGGGTGATCTCTGCCGTGAGATGACAAATTAAATGTCGCACATCCCCCCTCCTCCCCGGGCTCGGGAAGGCTCCGTTTTCAAACTGCCGCTCGCTGGCGCATCCCGGGAAGCGGCCCCGGAGAGGTCCCAGAGGAGCCCTTCACCCGAACTTGATTTTGACACTAAAATGTGGAGCAGAGCCCATTTTCTCAGCTATGAATATGTATTATTTTTTTTTAATAGCGCCTGTAGACAACTAAGGCATGAATGAAGGCAATCAGGGAACATGATGAAGTGATAACTTAATAAAAACCAGACTATTGCTTTCATGTTGAAAATCACTCGGAATGTCATTAGGTTATTGTTCGGGGGGGTTATTGCCCGTATTCCCTCCAAGTCCAAGGGATACACGGAGCCACACTGAAGCCGCCCCGGCCTCTGTGAGGAATCCGAGGCATCCCGAGCCCAGGAGCCGGTGTGTGACTGCAGCTCCCGGCAGCTCAAACCGGTTTTGGCGCTGCCTCGGAGAGCAGCGGGCCCGATCCCGGCGCTGTCTGCCGCCCATCTGTTGGCAGGGCTGCGAGCTCCAACCCGGCTCTGCAGCTCCGGAGCCTTCCGAACTGCTCGGTTAAGAGTGGGATCTTGGGGGAGCCCTTGGGGGTCACCGCTGCCCCCCCAAACACCCCTGGACCACAAAGCTCAGCCCCTGACACGGGACATGAGGGCTGGGCATTGCCTGCAAGCTCTTTGCCAGCTGCTTAAAGGTGTGAGAGGAGTCTCAGGGCAGAGAACAACTTCTGGAGGGTTCAGGTTGGGCCCGTTTCCCTTGGTTTTTTCTTCGTATTAATTTCTTTCTGGTTGTATCTCAATCGGATACAAATCTATTTTGTTGTTGTCTGGCCTCCCGAGTGAAGCCCAGCCTGTGGGGTTTGGTGTCATTGCACCTGCCCAATTAACACATTTGATACCTGTGATCTCCAAGTAAAGGGACTCGAGTTCATTGAGCAGTGCACTCGTTGTTATTCCCTTGGGGTTCTCCTCTTTTCCAGGGCTGGGTTTGTTTTTGTTCACACTTGTTCCATGGAAAGGTTGGAGACACATGCTCTTTGCCAAAAACTCAGCATGTCTTCCCATTCAATCAGAGACTGGAAAAGCTTCTCATCTTCACAGGAGTCACCCAGAGGGAAGTCTCAGAAACACCAGAGCTGATGTTTGTGATATTTGCAGGATTGAAAATACGCAGGAAATAGCCCATCTCCTGTTCTCATCTAGCAGGGAAAAAACCTCTTTATTTATAAACTTTGGACACTTGTGATCCTGCTGTCATCAACAACAAAATAATTAGATTGCTGTTCAAAACCCCGGCTGGGTTCTGTGTCTCACAGCTCTGAGGCTCAGCTGTCCCTGCTCCCCAGCACAGAGTCACTCAAACAATCACACCCAGAGATCAACGGGGACTCACTTGGGCTTGTTCAGCCTGGAGAAGGATCCAGGGAGACCCTTGCAGGGCCTAAAGGGGCTCCAGGAGAGCTGGAGAGGGACTGGGGACAAGGGATGGA